CAATTGATTCAACTGCGTGAAGTATCCTCTTTCTTTTCCTGCTATGCTCATTAACTTTTCCAACCCCATCAGTTCTATAAGGACTTCTGACACTGTTTTCGGCAACCACAGCAGCATTTTCATTGCAATTTATTTTGGTAACCTCAGCAGATAAGTTGGATATTGTTGGTTGCACATTCTCCTCAACCAATTTTTCCTGTGAGCCCACCAACTGTCTATCAGAAAAAGATTCCCTACTGGAATGTATTGCAGAACTCTGTAACATTTTTCGGTTAGAGCCTCTGACTGGAGACTCCAATATAGAATCAATACCTGAAATAGAATCAATGCAGTTTCCTCCAGATAAAAGAAGAAACGGTGCGGTATGTTGTGTGGCTTCTCTTGCATCCAAAATTGGGCAGCCAGGCTTGAGACGCTTAACTCCACTTTGAAGGTTCATCTACAAATTGCACAATCCCATTTCAGTAAATAGAATAAGACTACAATGTTGTGAAATTACTGATAACATTGGGGTAAATAATGTAAAAGCCAAGAAAGAAAATTGGTGCTTATTAAAGACAAGGCATCCACATAAATATTCAATCAAAATCCATGCATTAGAAGCAAAACTAAATATTTGAAAGGCTAACTGGCGTAAGTCACATGTACAAGGACACACGACTATTTGACACAAAACTACAACTAGACTAGTACAATAGGTAGAGAAATGTTTCAAGGCTGGAGGGAGGAGTTCCAACAAATGCCTTACCAACTTAAGACACCTATTTTGAAGTTTAAACCATATTAGTGTTATTCTGGTATTATTCTAGAACTTTCCAAGCATCAAAGTAGAATAATGAGCACACTTATGCTCTACCCACCAGATTACAACACTAAAAGCCATCAGATGAATAAGGTTCAATTGTCATCAACCACGCCTGAAAAAAGAAAATAAATCAACAGTAGCCGTATCAAATGCTAAAACACGCATGTAATGCTCCAAGTTTAGATTCCTAACCAATATCATAAAAGCTAACAATACTAAGTTATTATCTAGAAAATCAAATTGAAATATAGGTAGCAATAGAGATTAGACTGAGAAAAACGAACCTTTTTTAGGTCATCTGTACGTTCAGCACTATGAGAAAAAGCCTTATTTAGCATACCCAGGCGCTGTGAAAATTGATTAAACTCCACTTCCAAGCGACCTAGTTCCTGTTGCAAGATACTATTCCGACTTCTTTCCAGCTTGACCACTTCATTAGCATGATTTCTTTGCTTTTTCTCAAACTTGAGTTGTTTCTTCAAGTGTTTCACTATCGCACTTTCAGCAACCTTATCTTTCCGAAGTTCAACGGCAGATGCATCAATTAATTTTCTGGAGGATAATTCCTCAATCTTCTTCTTAGCGTCATCCAACTGTCTAGACAGATGATCAGCACGAGATTTTTCTTCCAACGCCTTCTTCTGATTCACTTCCACAAGCTTTTTCTGCTTTTCAGCTTTCACCCTCTCTGATTCTGCCTGTTTTTTTTCCTTGATTACCTTCTGTTTTCCAATTTCATACCTTTTGTTCAGTTCCTCCAAATTTGGATGCTTCAAAACCAATTTCAATTCATCTGATTTACTCTCTTGGAAAGCTACACCACTTCTATTGTTAAAAGATTGTGCGTTTGGAGCCTCAGCCAATTCTTTTAAGGGCCTAATTTCATTTATCTCTTTCTGTAACTCATCAACCCTTTTCCTACTCTCTACCAGTTCCATAGATAAACATTCAGCACGATATTTTTCTTCCATAGTCATCTTCCTATTGGCTTCAGCAAACTTCCTTTGCTCATCAGCCTTGGCCTTCTCTGAATTTGCAATCTCTCTCTCCTTGACCACCTTCTGTTTTTCTCCCTCGAGCTTCTTGTTTGCCTCAACAAGCTTCAATGTCTCAGAAGCCAAATCAGAATTCACTTTATGAGCTTCTTTCTTCAGTACCTCCAACTGAAGCCCATAATTCTCAGCCTTCTCTCTTTCAATATTGGCACGCTTCCTTTCGTCATCAGTCTTACTTTTTTCAGCTTTAGCAGATTTTCGTGCTTCGGAAGCTTTCTTCTTCTCCACTTCTACATTCTTACTTGCCGAGTCTGCCCTTTTCTTCTCTCTCTCGATAAGCTCCTTGAGATGATTAATTTTCTTTTCATAGTCATCAATTTGAGCTTTAAGCAGGTTTACTTCACTTTCATCTTGACCGTCTGCATTTCCTCTCTGCTTTAGAGAATATATCTCAGATTTCAACTCAGAAATTTCGTTCTCCAGAGATGCCCTAGCAGCAGATTCTTTTACTTTCTCCTCTTTCTCAACATTGGCATTCTTACGTGCTGAGTCTTCCCTTTTCTTCTCTCTCTCAATAAGATCCTTGAGCTGATTAATTTCCTTGTCCCGGTCAGAAACTTGTGCTTTGAGAAGGTTTATTTCACCTTTATATTGGGCATCTACATTTCCTCTCGGCTTTACGGAAATCTCAGATTTCAACCTAGAAATTTCATTCTCCAAAGATAACCTAGCAACAGATGCTTTCTCTTTCTCCTCTTTCTCAATATCTGCCCGTGCTTGTTCTTCCTCGAGTGCTGCAAGTACAGAGTTACAAAAGCAAGAAAAGGAGGTTAGTCACTTGGAAAAGTTATCACCACTCTCTATCATAACTATATACAAACTAACATTTCATATTGACTAAGAGTTCATTTAAGTAACCTAGTTTTGCATCTGGTTCTACATTTCGACACAGAAAGAACCATAGTGTTTAACATGAAACATACAAATGTAACAAGTAAACTAATAACACTAGAGCATAAATTGTAACAGGTAGGGAACTCCAAAAAGCATAAACTGCTTTGACAACTAACTAAACTTAAAACTTTTCGACATAAACCAAACAGGTACCCAATTTACATCTATTCGAAAGGAGCCTCAGTCGTGAAATTCGTTATCGAATCCACAATCCAAGTGACCCAGGTTAAGAAAGTACTAACATTTCAACAGCTTAGTTAACAATACTAAATTTTTAATGTCTCAAGGATCCTAAAAAATTTACCTTTCTTGAGATTGGAATTCTCGGCTTGAGCTCTTTCAACCTCCTGTTGAAGTAAGTGCACAGCTTCCCGCAGTGCATTCCGTCCCTTTTCGAGCTTCGAGCACTTCTGTTTCCACTGCATAGCAAGCATAAAATTGAGTGAACAATGAAATCGAATACCACTTTAATAAATTCAAAAAATTGAAAACTAAATAAAAATTTGAAACTTTGAATCTTTACCGTAGCACAGCACGAATTGACCACCTGGGGATTCACTGGCACGTCTGCCGCCATTGCTGCAATCATGTCGACAAAGCAAAAAGCTTTCGAAATGAGAGGGAAAAGTTAACGAATTGAGAGAGAGAGAGAGAGAGAGAGAGAGAGAGAGTCGTACTGGTTCTATTGCAGTGGGATGAAGGAGTTGAGGTGGCTCATTAACAAGCAGCAAAAACCCTAAAGCCCCAAATCGTTGATGAATCTCTCAATACAAACAAGAGCGAGAATCTGAATAAGAGAACGCAACCGCCTATGTTACTAGTTTTCGCAACTCACTTTTGAAATACTGGCAGTGAGAGAGAGCAACCCTAATGGTTTTGGGTCGGTAAATCCGGTTCCTAATCGGATCCTTCAACCGCCGAGATTTTCCTTTTTTTTTTTTTTTAGTAGTTTTCACAAATTAAATAAATCAAACAGAATTACTGGATAAAATTAAAGGAAAATTAATGGAAAAAATTTGAAAGCTTTAAATTTTAATGAAAATGACAAAATAAAGGGTAAAATGAATAGTATCATGATTAATCTTTTAGTGTAAAATTGTGATTTTTCGTTAAAATGAACAGTACCAGAGTTTTTCGTTAAAATTCTCTAAAATTAAACAATATGTCTTGGAGGTCCAAAGAAACACGTATTTGTTTTTTTTTTTTCTTTTTTTGTAATTTATTTGTTATTTAGTGCTACAATTTAGTAATATTTCTTAATTTGTAAATAAAAGGTCTTAAAGTTCAATTCTTTTAAAGATGAATTTGAATCATATTATACTTGTATATTGTGGGACTAAATCTATTCTATTTTCTTAGTGTAAATAATATCATTTATTTAAAAAATAATAATATTCTCATTGTATGTGTGGATCGCTGAAAGCGTAAGTTCAAAATTTAAAGAAAACCCCACCAGACTTCATTCTGGTATCAGCCCGAAATCAAATCCAAGTCCATTTCAAACCAGCAATCAGCCCAGCCCAATATGGGATGGACTTAGTGGAGACATTTCAAAATTGGGTGGACAAATGTTGCAGTATTATTGGTTCATATCATTATGTATGGAAATGAGCGTTGGCTGGTGAAGACCAGGGACGCGCCATGTTCCATGCTGTAACTCCTGAATTTCCTCGAGTGGTCAAGACCCACGTATTGTCCTTTCAGTAAAAAAAAAAAAATTTCTAGTATACATTTCGAAGTTTATTTTCGTTATTGTAATTGAGACACTTAACGGCACGTTTACTTAGCATAAATAGAGAATAAGAGCAGCTTTTAAGAAGATATCAAAATTTTTAGGTGGATTGTTTTTATGAAAAAAAAAAATATGGCTCAAGGTGATGCCAAAATTCTACAAGAATTGACACTCTCGACTTTGCTGCAAATTTGAAAGCAATGCCAATTTTTTTTAAAGGGGGATAGCTGGTGCCAAACCACGGGTATCCCCTCCTTCCAGCATCATAGAAGATGACTTATGTCATGACATAAATTTTTTTTTTATCAATAATCATGAATGTAGTAAACACACAAGAGTATATTCTCGATTGTAGGGCATATTATCTTTTAAGTTGGGACCATACAATTGACGATCTCAATGCTATCGCTAAAGTCAACAAACGACGTAGAATAATACTATGGAATTGATTGCAAACTTTGAAAAAGTCCACTTCGAAAACATGCAAGATGATAGCTTGAGAGCCAAGGCAACATAGACAACAAGGAGAAAGTCTCCTTCCATAAATCAAGCAATGAATCCGGGGACAATAATCCATGTTAATTTATACAAGACAGCACCACCAAAATTGACACCTCCATCCACATGCCATGCCACCCCGAAGACGTAAATAAATCATGCGTACAACAAATTTAGGAGACAGCAAAAATAAACAAGATTAATGTCGAAATTCCCCTTCACTTGCTTATCCTAACAAACTTTCTTGGCTGCTTTCGGTTGTGGAAGTGTTCCGAACACCCTGTCCCATAGGCTTGAAGTTATTCCGAAGCCCTTATCTTGGATCCTGAAGTGATGATTCAGGTGGTATCTCTGCAAAAACAAACAAAACCCATGTTATTCTCGTCAGCAATGACTAGTTCCCGAATGCAGAAACTTTCTGCTGTTTTTTCAGATGCTCTAGCGTAAAAGATTTGTAATTTCTTATGATGATCATAACGCAAACAGAGGATTAGGTCTAAATGGGTAAAATTCCTGCAAGGGATGAAAGGTGTACCGATCTTTACCTTCAGATTTCGGGGTACCTCACTTGTTGGCTGACCGTGATGAAGATAGTAATGGGTGCAATCATACATCACATAGCCCAATAAACCGCCTCCAAACAAAGCAGGAGCAAAAGTAGGAGAAGACATCAGCTTCACCAAGTTCCAGAACTGGCAACAAATGACAGTAGAGTTACGATTGGTAATGAACTTTTTTCTTTTCATATAAAACGATCCTTGACAAATTTATGCAATAGTAATTATGTTAGGGTCCGTCTAAGTAAACCTCAAGATGACAATTATGCAATCTTAATACCCAGAACAGTAACTCAGCTATCCTATCTAATCAAATTCAATGCAATGTGTCATGGCCCTATGACATGTAATTTTGCTTTCCATTACAAAATTAAGTAATTTAACCCTTCAGAATAATCATTAACCACAGTATTCTTAAACAAAACGTAATGACAACATGGCAGGACAAGAAGGGACATGGAAGAATAGACATACTGGAATGCATAAAATAGCTGTCGCAGCAGGAGGGAAAACAAGTCGCAGGCCATCCATTGGGTGCTTATGGTGGCAGCCGTGAAGAAGATAATGTAAAGTGTTCCCCCTGAAGCAGTTTCAGCAAAACAAGTGCATTAGTCTCAGAGAAATTCAAACAATATGGTATATACGTAAACAAGAACATAAACAGGGGGAGAAAGAGTTGTAAGAAACAAACCAGTAGCTCTTTGTTTCAATGTGGAAAAGAAAGCGGTGCAACGTGTATTCCATCAATGTCCAGACAAAAATCCCAGCAACAACTGTCAGAGCAACTTCAGGGAATGTATGACCCATCCGTACGGACACTGAGATGGCATAAAACACAACTGGTAGCCATATGACAGGAACTGCCCACCACACAGTGCGGGTTAAGAACTGTTTCAAGTAGAAAATAGAGTCAGAAGTGGAGCTCTGCAAAGTCACACAATCTAGGCGCATGTGCATTGTGCAACCATAAGAGTATATGAAAACTAAATTGTAATGGATTAACAAGAGGAGGCAGTACCTCCCAAAATTCACTTTCAAAAAATCGAGGGCCTTCCTTGCTAACAATCGGCTGGTGAACCCACTCTTGGTATGCTTCTCCAAGATGGCCAACCTGTGAGATTGTAAAGGCTAAAAGTTAAAATAAAGTTCAACAGGAATCATCAAACACAATAAAGTGAGACAGGCAGCAAGATCAAAGATTTATAAATAAGTAAAAAATTATAAAGAGAAACTTAATGCATGTTATGAACTTTCAGAGAAAGAAACGAAGGTGCCAAATACAAGCAGCAAATGCCCCAAGCAAAGAGACTGAAGATCTTCAGAGTGGGTCAAGAAAGCTTCACAAAATATGAAATGTTTAGAGCCTCGGATCCAAATGGAGCGATCTAGCGCACATAATTGGCTCACATAAAAGAATAAAAAACAAAAACAGTGGGAGCCTTACCTGAAACACGAGGGCTTTATTCAAATCAACTTGGAAGTCCTGCGCAACCATCTTGTTACGTATAACACTGCTGGAGAAACATCAAAACTAATACATTAAGTTCAATGATGCGGATCTATAAGGGGCGAGAACCAAAAAGATCTAATGACAGCTACGTAAGGATTCAGATATTAATAAAAAAATTGTAATATGTGATGGGTTGGTATATGATACCATATCTGATTATAATATCATCTCTAGTTTAATCTTACGGACTGAGTCTTACTGACAATGACAAGTTAAAGGATAGTTCTCTTTAACTTCCTCAAACTAATAGGTGAAACCGATTAATACCGGCCTATAGGCCACAAATCTTTCTTCTATAATTATCAAAAGTTAAACTTATCAGGTGAAGCAGTAACAAGCATCACCAACAAAAATGGATTTAATGCCGAATTGATGTAAATCGCGACATTTGATAGTTAGGATTTTATTAGACTCATTCGCACTATTATCTAAACCTCGAATTTTCTTCAAATCAATTTCAACATGCATCCATGAGAAAAAACGATGAATCTTGACAACAAAGCGAGCCAGGGTATCCAGAACATAATGCATGAAAGAAATTTCCACACAGATGCTCGTTCGCAATTAATCAATTCACAAGAGATCCATCTTTTGTTTTCTTAAAGACAAAAAATTTATTAGCTTTCCCCTTTCCCTCTACTTTCCCAGCTACCAAACAGATCAACCCCAGATAATCTCACTCTGAAAAAAACGGCCCCACACAATATCATACAGTCTCAAGAGTAGTCAAGACTAATGCTTTAGTCTCAAACCCCATGATTTCTTCCCCCTTTTCTCAGAATTTCTCACCAACCAAACAGCATTTGGCATCATAAAATCAAAACAAATCACACCGTTCGACAAGAAAAAGAAAACGCACAATGCACGTATCCAACCCAAATTCAAAACCCACAAATCAAACCCCAAAAGCCACAATTTTCCAAACCAAAACACGAAAAACAAACAGACCCAGATCTACAAATCGCACAAAAACCACACCAAAAAAAATAAAAATAAAAAATCAGACGAGGGAGAGCAAATGGCTAACCTATTGAGAACCCGGGTCGGATCCAATGGAAGAGAACAACAGAACACGAACACCCTTCCGTTACTCTCTCTCTCTAGAATGTGAACCGCCCGCACCACCACCAGAAGAGGTTTCAGCGTCGAGGGTCAAGTGGTGCAGTGGCAGAGGAAAATCTGAGTCTCTCTCTCCGTGTTTGTGGAATTCAAGTCGAACGATAACGGATGATTTTACGAGATGGGAAGATCTGGGCCGTCGGTTTTATACGGGCATCAGACAATCAGCCAGCGATCCTCACGTTGGATTCCAAGTTTCTAACTGTGTGGCCAGTCTGGCACTGTTTCAAGTTTGTGTTAAACAACTTTCTTTTTACAGCGGAGTGTGGGGGTAAAAAACAGACTTGTGGGTCCCGCTATGGTAACTTCGTTAATTAGGGGAATTTGGTTGCGGCTTTTCGGGCATTTTGGGCACATGAGATATTTTTGTGGGAGAAGGGCAATCATTCCCATTGATTTGCATGAACTGCCAATCGGCGCCAACTGTTTTGGTTAACTTATGTTAAGTCACATGTCCATCGTCTTTTTCCAAAAAAAAAAAAAAAAAAAAAAAAATTATGTTAAGTCACGGTTATCCATCCCTTCTGCGTTCGAAGATGTTATGGGAAATTTCACCTTATTTATGATCACATTCAAACAGACTTATCAGCTCGGAACATCAAACCCAAAACTTCCCACATTTTTTTTGTTTATAAAAAAAAAAATGTCTATCATCTTCTCTCAAATGGGATCAAAGATTCTCTTTGCTCATCATATGATGAATATAGGGAGGGTTTTCGATGTTGGCAGGGTGCATCACTACAATAACGTCTCGTACTAATAATATAATGATATGTTGTCTCATTAACATAGGTTGTCATGATGATGGTCATATAATGTAAATTGCTCTCACGAAGTTTTAACGACCACATTTATTTGCAAGAACTAAAGCTTTATTAACAATATTATATAATGCTAATTTTCTCTATAGTAGGAGATCTCAAGTTCAATTCGTGTAGCTGACAAGTTCAGTATATAGTTATAACATACTTATTGTATGGTTTAACTCAAATCTCTCTTCGCTTCCAGGTTTGAATGAAAAGAATGAATACGATGTTGTACAAAAAAAATTCCATTAAAAAGGAAATATAAATAATTTTTTATTTGATTGCATCAATATTCAAATTTAAGACATATTTACTTATACTTTCAACAAATGGGTTAAATGAATTATTTAGATCATGACGTCTCAAATGATGAGTAGTGGAATTGTTTTTATTCCTAACTTTCCTTTGTACTATATAACACATACTAAATATAAAAAATATACAGGACTGTTTTACCACATACTTTTCGTTTAATTATTTCAAGTAAACAAACATGTCATAAATCTCTTCTAACATAGATCATTTTAACGTTATCGCCACATTATTTAGTCTAGTAATATATGTCTCCGCTAACAAATTTATGTAATGTCATTGCGATTCAATTTAGGTGAGTTTACAAAAACTCATTGCAGTTCAGTTTGTTTTGAACAATTGAAATTTTCTTGCTAACAATAGGTTGGTGAACCCATACATTGTACGCTTCTCCAAGATGGCCAACCTGTAAAAGTTAGTTTCCCTTTAACTTTCAATCCAGATAAATGAGAGATGAATATGGTACCAAGATTACAGCTTATCTTTTAAATTAGTGCGGTTATTAAGATTCTTACATTTATATGCCAAGTGAAGAGGCCTTTAATTTGCATATGTTGTCTTGGTGAAAATAACTAAATCTGAATCCGTGCATAATGAAAAGAGCAATGAGATCGTCAGAAAGACGAGGCCTGTTCAATTCGACGGTACTATAACACTAATCGACCATCTTACAAGGCACAACCTTAGTTTTATCTGATTAAGTAATGTTGCCTTGCTCCCCTCTCAATATATAAAGCTGCAATTGGCCAACTAGCCACTAACTATCAACCCACATAAATGGATGTTTGTCAACGATGGAAGTCGCTATCCACTGTTTCTAAACAAACCCACACTAGTAGAAATACCATTTGTGCGACAAAACTTCATGGCAAAAGCAGTTAGCGCGATGAACGTATAAATCCGTCACATATATATGTTCGTTGTGCAAACTTCTTGGCCATGAATGTCAAGCGTCCCATGTAGTGTATCACGTCGAGAAAACTTTGTTGCGTCAACTTACACGTGATAAAGTGGTTTCGTCCCCTAAGTTATGTGCGACGACTTCCATTTCTTCTTGCAAGTTCAGTATTGTGTGACGAATCATATTTTATGTCATGCAAAGTCTGTTTTCACGACCTTTGCGCGACGAATTTATCGTCCCTTAAACTCCAATGCGACACTATTAAGCTTTGTGCGACAAATGCACCATTTATATCATAGATGGAGATATATATAATATGACATGAGCCATGTACCGCCCATTTAATGGATTAACCAACCAAGGTCATTTACCATCCACGTTCGTTGCTTTATCCTTAGAAAACAATTCACATTACAAAACTAGAATTGAATTTCATGCAGAGTATTATAGTACTTGTGAGTTGTGATCTTATATACCTAACGCATATATACATTTGCAGGAGATAAGGGCACTTGTGGTGCCATATAGTTTATTATTCAAACCACCTATTGTTTGAATATTCATCCAAACCGGTAGGTCAGAAATATCGACAAAATTTAAGAGTTTCTCTGATAGGGGTTTAGACTTTACCAACCCCCCCCCTTCTCTCGATATCTTTTTATGATTTTGTCTGGTATTTCCACAGAAGTATCAAAATCTATTTTATGTCAATGTGATATTTAAATGAGAATTAAAAGAATGAACAGTTCCATATGTAAAATTTACACGGTTCAAAAAATTAGTTGTAAATAGTTCACCCATAGAGTGGATGAAGGTATTTTCCATAATAACCAAAGACAACTTATAATAAAGAGTTCTTTACATTATACACCAAGTAATACTGTTCAAAGAAACCGCTGTATACCAAAATGAGCCTAAATAGCGGGCAAGGGTCCATTACATAGGCAACGAGATGGCCCTTCCCTTTTTACAATTTACAGTGTGCGATAGGAACAACGTATCAGGGGATGAGAAACATATGATATAGCAACAAGGGTGGTAGAATTACTAGTTATTGTTGCAATAGTAGCAAGAAATTATTAATCCATGTCAGAGCCAGCCAGCAAGCCTCTTAGCAGTAATTAGTTCCGTTTTGCCTTAATTTGAATGAATAAGCCTATTAAAGAGTTTGTAATAAGTTTAAATATACAGTCACTTAATATCGTACAAATAGTTTTATTATGTTGATCGCTTGGATGAATGAAGGGAGAGGGATACAAAGACCAACCAGTAGCTTCTTGTTTTCATGTGGAAAAGGGAGCGATGAAGGATATACTCCACCAAGGTCCAAACAAAGATGCCACTAACCACAGTTAAAACAAGCTGATCGGGATGATCAGCGAGCCCCATTCGAGAAGACATGGAAATAAACCAGGATGCTACAGGCAGCCAAACAACTGGAACCACTCACCATGCTGTGCGGGTCAAGAGCTGTTAATTTCAGGTTGATGATATTTAGTTGAGAAGTTGTACCAAGATTTGCATTCTAAAACTTGATAAAATAAAGGAATAATTGCAAGATTAAAGTCCATATTATATGATCTTGATTAAATTAACACCTCAAAAAAGTCATTTGCAAAGAATCTGGGGCTTTCCTTGTCAACAATAGGTTGATGAACCCATTCATGGTAAGCTTCCCCAAGATGGTCAACCTGTAAAATTGGTTCCAAAACGCTGTAAGAAGTTAAATTATGTGATAAACAACGGTACCAAAACCATTTAAAACCAGAAGCAAATAGGAAAAACAAGTAGAAGGAGTGTTAACACTATAAGAAAAAATCCGTGCAAATTAAAGCAAAGAGTAAATAGATATGTAACCTGGAAGACAATAGGCTTATTCAAGTCCACAGTAAAAGAGTAGTCATCTACCATCTTTGTACCTTCTTATGTAACTGGAGTCACAATAAAATCAAATCAAATCAAATCAAAACCAGAAGTAAATATATAGGAAAGAATACTACCATGTCCCGTAATTACACTATATTCATATTAATGCTGTTGATTTTTCTTTCCTATTCTTTTTCTTCTCTCATTTCTTCTCTCATCATGTACCTAATGTTTCTAAGAGAGAGTGACACAAATGTTCGCCATATGAAATGAGTAATCGAGAAATAAAACCGAAACCAGCGTAGTTTGATAAGAGCCTACCTTTATACTAGAATAGTATTCGCGATAGTATCACCTCAGATCCCTCTACAGGTATATACCCAATAAAACACATCTTAATCACTCTCTCTCTCTCTCTCTCTCTCTAATCCATGAAGATCAGTACGTACTCTACCTCTAACGCAATTTGCTTCTCACTTGATGACCTTTTTGAGCCCATTATTAAGATATGTAATTCATCTCTCTCCATATATACATAAACTCACGGATCCTAGATAATATTAGCCCACTAGCCAAGTTTTGAGCTGACTAAGAAATGTCTTGCACCCCTCTCCATGTATATGCTCACGGAATAGCTAAATTAAGCTACTAGCCAACCTTTTCAGCTGATTAAGAAATGTCTTGCTCCCTTATCCATATATATAAAAATGTTGGCTTCATATCTGCAGATTTGTCATTAAGAAAGTTGAAAAGTTGATAAGAATTGCTAACTGCAGCCAGAACCCCTCATTGCAATTCAGTGATTCATCACGGACCACATGGATTGTTATTAATCACCAATGACTGCATAAATAAAATTTAATTATAATTAGTTTTATATCATACGTGGCGTGAACCATGCATTATCTGTTTAGTTTTCTTGTGATACCCTAGCGTGGTTTGATAATCATTCCTTTTTCATTTTTCAGTTTTTATTTTTAAGGGGTTTTTAAACTTTAATTCTTGAAGAAGATTAAAATTTAACAAAAATCTGGTGTTAAATTACATATTGATTTTAGTCCTTTAATGTGTACTTAATTCAAATTCACATTATTTTGTGTTTTAATATTTAATGTCTCCACATTAAATTTAAAATTTATTATTATACACATTTTAATTCATTAAGTTTGTTTAAGGATTAAATACCTAAAAACCCCCCACAATCTTTTCATCTCATTCCAAATTGGTCTCAATTTTTTTTAAATATTCAAAACAAGTACCCAACTAGCCTATTGAAATTACATCAGGAGGTCCAAAGATCATCCAACGGTCTAAGCAGGTGGTGAAAGAGAGAAATCCACCATGGCTTGTAGATGTTATGCAACAAAAGTTTTGAACCAAGAAGAATGATCTAATTTCAGATAAAGAGGAACACGGAGAATGAGTTTGGTAAAACATACAAAAAAAAGGTGTTATATTAAAAAACGTTGTCAACAACAGTAGAAAAGTAGAAGCAGAGTCTACCATACTTCTAAAAAAAGTGTTTATTTTTTAATTTATTTATTATTTTTTAAAATTACAATATTTGCCCCTGCTATTCTCTTTGACAATTATTATATCACATTACATACCATATCATTTTTAGTCATTTAACATATTCACAGCAATTTTTATAAAAGTTTACCAAACACTCGTATACTAATTTTTTTGTTGAAAGAACTTTTACAAAAATAAGTTTACCAAACACTCAACAACTTTATTTTACAGTTGTTTATTCTCACAGTACAACAGAATTAGTTTTTTAAAAAGCTCACACAAATACCAAACTAATCCTAAACAAGCCTATAAGGATTGATACTTCTCAGTATTAATCACGATTTAACAATAATATAAGTTATAAATGGATCCAGCCACTCAAATTATGTTTAACCGAACCATGTAACTGGAGAGATTTTGCACTAAGATTGGCCCCTGAATATATACAGATAAATTTGAGGGTTTAATTTGTTGTTGTATTTTTTTGTTATTGTTGCCCAATCAAGTTGTTTTACTTAGCATTTTAATTAACAAATGGATGATGTATTACTCAATCAAATATTTTTTATACCATACATTTAACACCATTATTTCTTTTAAAATTCATTATAAAAGGCAAAATTTTTGATATTTTGTAAGTTATATGTTAGTAATAAACCTAAATTCTCAATACAAATATAGTTTTTTTTTTTTAAGTGTAAACAGACTTTTATTTGTATGATATATAATAAATTCACTTAATCCACTTAGTCTACCTAAGCCCCTACCTAGGACCATCTAAGAGTATAGGTGCTAGGTCCAGCCCGCCGCTTAACTAGCGCCTTAGGACGACCTAATGTTGCAATCTTGTATCCGCCACCACACACAAACCATGATATAAAAAGTAGGCAAGCAGAGTATAAGCAATAAATAACAATGCACAAAACCACTTCTAATATAAATTTCACCAATCGTACACCAAAAGGAACTAGCAAAAAGTTCATACCTAGAACAGTAACACTTGATACGTCTGACTTTTTTTTTTAGTCAATTGTCGAAGTGAATGAGCTTTTTGTCTCTCGTATGGTAGTGTATATGTCCCTTCAAAGTTCATGATCAATGAAGAGAAATAAGAGCCTATATATGCCATTCTTATTTGTTAAAAGATGAGCATTGCACTGTTAGTATAATGGATGGTTATTATTTGAATTTGCCTTTGAAAGGGGTGGGCACCGTCTGAATGTAGAGAATCGCCTCACGTTAGAAGGTTAAGAAACTTTGCCTAACTTGTAAGAAATTGAATTACTCATTTCATTGCCAATTGATTTTGAAGTGGATTTCCAACTGTTTTCCGGCACTATTAGTTATCAAAGAAATTTTTTTCCTTTACAATCATCATTTCACACTAGTGTGACTTGGTCTTGGGGAGAAACTGGCCAGAATTTGCATCTGGAGTCTGGACAAAGATAACAAGGCAATATAACCGATAGTCTGACCATATCAGCCTCTGCCGGAGCAATAAACAGACAGAAAAATATGCCTTTGATCAATTAATTATTATTATATTTTACTTTTCATGATCTTTTATTGTTTATTTTACAAGTTAACGTTCTTCCACTTGGACCCAAATAATTTAACAGTATGCTGGCTCGTTATATAAGCTTTAACATAATGCATTATCTATACTGAAAGGCCGGCGTTTTCTAATTTAAGTTTGTTCTTCTGCTTTCTCTATAAATAACCAACTTCCTACATCTATTCCTTCACCTCTCTCTCAATCCTTTCTATTTTACACATGCAATAAACTTCACATATAATCCCCCATTGAAGAAGTTGAAAAATAAAGATGGCAAACCAAATCTTGCTATTGACTACTGTCCTAGCCATGACATGTTCTCTGGTCGTTGCTTTCGAGCCTAGTCCGTTGCAGGATTTCTGTGTTGCTGATGCAACTAGCTCAGGTTTGTGTCAAATCTTTCGGTTAATTTTCAGTATTACATTAAGTGTACTTCTAATTCCTACTTAATCTACAATGATTATAACTTTTATGTTGGTTTGTTAACTGTAACAGGAACAAGAGTGAATGGGCTACCTTGCTTGGACTCCAAGCTAGCAACAGCTGAGCATTTCTTCTTCAGTGGACTTCACATCCCAGGCAACACCTCAAACCCTGTTGGTGGAAAAGTTACCCCAGTCAATGTGGCTCAAATTCCAGGACTCAACACCCTTGGCATCTCACTCGCTCGCATTGACTACGCACCAATGGGTGTCATCCCACCCCACACTCATCCCCGTGCCACTGAAATTTTAACGGTCTTAGAAGGCAGCCTCGATGTTGGCTTCGTGACCTCAAACCCCGACAACAAGCTCATATCAAAGGTCCTCAACAAGGGTGATGCGTTTGTGTTCCCTGTCGGACTAGTTCACTATCAGAAAAACGTGGGCACTGGAATGGCCATTTCACTCTCTTCTTTGAGCAGCCAAAACCCTGGATTCAACACCATTGCAAATGCTGTGTTTGGATCCAATCCCGCAATTCCTGAGGATGTTTTGGCCAAGTCTTTCCAGGTGGACAAATCTGTAATTCGTGATCTTCAAGCGAAATTTTAGATGTTTTCATGGAAATAGTTTATGATATTTCATATCATCTCTCCGTCTATTTTGTGATTTTCGCATGTTTGTAAAAGTATTGTACTGAAATCACCGTGAAATCGAATGGTTTTATATGAAATTCTTCGGTATCTGGGTGCCCCTTTGTGGAAAATATCATTTTCTTACAGTAGCAGAACTAGTGAAACAATGAAACGTTTGAAACTTGTGAAAATACTCTCCAAGAAGCAAAATTTCGTGATTAACATTTTTATTTTAAGATTAAGTCAAATAAACACCCGAAAATAACCTATTCGTGAAATTTCTTCTGGTTTCCGATCGAAGCCAACGCAACATTGACCCGGCAACCTGAGTGTCTTATGGAGTTTAGTGGCAAAGGGGAAAGAAATTTTGTTAAGCTTGTATTTCAAAACAGCAATAATCCAACTATGATTTCCTCAAACAATAATCCAGCTATACCTAACATTTCAGCTTCTTTTTTTTTAGGCAATGTTAAAACAATAATTCAGTAAATCCAAATAGTCTCAATTTTTTTTCCACAACCTTGACTAACAAGTAATCAAGCTACTAGAACCTTTGTTCCATGCATTTTGATTCTCTGTCAAATGACTCGAACGTAGCTGCATCTCCAAGAACCGAAGAAGTGAACAGATTATGTAATAACTCGGTTTCAGTTACTCTACCACAGCATGCTTGCATCCTGTGCTTGGAAGTTAAACCTGCAAGATGGAGCTTTACCTTCAAACACGACTGATAGCGTTAGCGTTAATTTCAAGTGAAGTTAATAAGCTCAGTCACTGATATCAACTGCTGCTAAGCGAAAATTTTCGAATGGAGAATTCCAAGTGAAGTTAATAAGGCCGCCAATTCTGTCTGGTTGATCTCTAGTGCACAGCATCTCATATTAGGCAAAAGGGACTTCACTTCATAGATTAAGCTGCCTACCTAAGGAAAAGACTCATAGATTAATCTACTATTGGGACTGTGGGTGGCGAAACCATACTATTAGTCTGGTGCTCAATTCGCCAGGCTAACGCTCTGCTATCCGACATCTGTGGAAAAGCCGGTAAGTAGCTGAAAATCAGAGACACGAAGAGTCGTAAAAAAATCAGTGAAAGAAAGTGAAGAGCACATCCAAGGGGTTTTGAGAAGGTCCAAATGATAGTAGGTGAAATTCATGGTCAACATTCCTGTGAAGTAGAAGATAATGCTTGTTTGAATCCGCTGGTTAACTATGAGTGCAGAATTTTTCTCCAGTTTAGACTTAATCCGATATAATGTCTCGGAAATTATACAAAAACTAGTCTTATGAAGTTTCTCACCATCTAGAGACAAAGTTGCTCAATAATTTTGGTATACAAACGAGTGGCTCTTGGCCGTGTATTTTCTGCACGCCGAGTCTACAGCAGAACAACAGATATAACGAAAAAGTGATTCGGATATCACAGAGAAACGAAATCAATAAAATGAAACAAGAACTATGTACTAAATATTTGTATCTGCAACAATTTTACAGTTTTGAGTACAACACCTCAAGCTGGGTTGCCAACGAAAAGGTTGGAATTTCTTTCTATCACAGTGGTTTTCACACAATTTGAGACTTGAAGAACACTATATCTGAAGCAAAACAAGACAGTCTAACTTGAGATTGGGACAGAACACTTGTCATGGACATAATTTTACCAGTCTTCCAATCAACTTCGACAAAAAACAGAAAGTGACTGTAAGCAAAAGGGCTACAAGCCGACCTCCAAAAAGTCCGGCAAGAACAATGAGGAAGAGAAACAGATACCCGAAATTCCCTTCTTTTACTTCTCTTCCCTTCTTGTCAACAACCAATGTTGTTTCTCCGCCAGCCAATGATCCTTCACCGTGATCAGAAACTCTATCCAATCCTTGGATTTCAGACTTCTCTTCTGCATCTAGTGAAAACACTGATATGTTTTCGCTTTCGTGTTCCTCCTCCTTCACATCTTCATGGTCTTCTTGTGCTTCACATCCCTCTACCTTATCAACTCCCAGGAAACTAGAATCTCCACCAGTACAGCACAGGCTTCAGCTCCTGCTCGTTTGGCTTACCCTTTCGACGCAACTTCTTAGGCACAAATTTCTTGATAAGTTTAGCTTTAATCTTAGCATTCTTGCTACCCTTACTCTTCTTATCCCCAACAAATTCACCTCCATCTTCGCCACCTCCACGAGCTTTACCTTCTTATAATCCTTCCCCAATAACTTAACCAATGACACATCCTCGACAGTCTTATCAACACAAACCCTTCTCTTATCCACCACCCTCTTCTTCTTACATTCCATTCCAAGCAATTCAACCATACTTTTTTCGCCGGAAGTTTTATCAACGCAAACACTTCCCTTCTCCGCCGCCTTTTCGTTCTCACAATCCATATGGAGCAACTCAATCAATCTTCCCTTCTTGTTAGCATCAACAATCTCAATCTCTTCAATGGCAGAATCTAAAAACACAGTCCTTTCTCTAGCAATCACCCCCTTCAAATCATCACTCTCGAAACCATTCAAAAACAATAAAAACGCAGACAATCTCTGACCCATCACAGATTTCGCATTCGAACATGGTTTCAAGAACAAAGCCAAGTGCTTACCGGTGTATTCGAGAAGCAGAAGCAAAAAAGCAGACAATGTGACCCCAACGACGAGCTTCTTGGTGCTGAGAGCCAAAACCACCACCACAAACATCTTCATCACCGCCGTCAGAACCGGCCCCCAATTGCCACCGATGCAATCCTCACCGCCAACAACACAATTCTTCTTACGATTTTCAACCCCAGTAGCTTCATCGCCGTGATCAGCTTCTCTGGGCTTCAAATTCTCGACCTTTGGCGAACTGGGTTTCACCAAAATCGGCAAATCGCCCGAACCCAGTTCACAATTCAGAGTGATCCGATCATCAACCCGGTCCTCGACCCGACTCTCTCTCTTCTTGCTCTTGTTCTTATGCTTTTTCGACGGTTTCTTTAAGTGATCGCGGTTCTTGAAGAAGAGGTCGATGAGAGAGGTGGGAAACCCGGTCTGCACGACGAGCGAGCCGCCGCGCTTCGGCGACTGAGATCGGCGACGAATTGAGAAATCCGATTCGCCCTCGTCTTCTTCCACGGAAGCGGCATCGCCACTGAAAATTTGGGAAAAAAAAAGAAAAACAGAGGAGAGAAAAATTGGTTTCGAAAGGAAACACTCAATTTCTGAGAAAAAAATAAATTATGGGGTTTTGATTTATAGCAGTCATCGTCTACTATTTCAATTAATTAAAAAAAAAATTAAAGAAAAGAAATGGGAAAGCGAGTTGAAATCAGATGGGGGTGCGGTTGTTGGGTGAAAGATTGGATCTTTGAACGCGGTACGCGGCACGCGGCAGAGTTGAAAGTTCTTTTCGTATGTTTCTTCCGTTCTGGGTCCGGAAAATTTTGTTTTGTTTTTGGACATGGGTGCCGGAAATTGAATCCATTTTAAAGGTCCATTATTCTGTTGGATTTGTTTTCTGTTTTTTTGTTATGAGAGATGAGTGAGGAAGCGTTCTTGGGGAGAAGGAGGTAAGTGAGGAAGAGCAAGAGTAACCAATTTTTGGGTGGAGAGGAAGAGTTACTAATTAAACTGAAACAAACAAACGGTTTCGAAATTGATGTGAGTTATGTGGTAAGAATTACTACATTGATTTGATGCATTATTCTTCGGGACATTTGCGTTTTAGCTAGAACTATGAGGTCCGTTGTATTTTTGTTTGTCCCAATAAATATTAGTTAGGGCAGCACACTCTGTGGTTTCATACGTAGTTAAGCATGTTGGTTCTCTTTTGTGGGATTTTATTGGTCCTGAATTTTTGTCTTTTTTGGCGGACGATGGGCACATTACCATTAGAATCCCATAAAGTCTAATCCCTTTTGACAAAACAAAATGTTAAGAACTACTGCATTGATTTGATAGTCTGGTCTAATACTGAAGTTTTCTCACATTGTTATTTATACGAGCGATATTTAAGGATACAATAACCAAAAATAGAATTTACGATGCAAGGATGGATGTTGTAAACTAATTATAAATTTCTGGTTAATTTTTTAAATTTAGTGATGATCTATATCATATTCAGATTTTATTAGATTTTTTTTTTTCTTATCAAAGATTTTATTAGATTCTAAAATGCATTAATGAGATTCAAAATTTAAAACTCACATAACCGCATATCATTCATTTTTTGATTATACATGAGGCAAAAGTTTAAAGTAACTATGTAGAAATCAATCGATTCCGATTCGCCGTAGTTATTTTTCTGTAAGTATTGGATTTTTAATTAGAACTCACATCCACCCATACCAAGATGCTTATATAAAATTAATGGGCAATTGTGTTAACCTAATCAATTAGCCTATAAGAGTACCAAGAGGCCATCCATGCATGACTATATAAGCCAAATGTGCAATTTTGTTAACCTAATCTTCTTTCATGCAATTTTGCTAAACCTTAAAATCCATATTCTTATCATCATTAGAATTTATATTATTTAATATTTTCTTAAATTGCTACATCAATATACATATATGCACAATGCATATGAATAAAATACTCGAAAAAACTTCACACACAAAGTTTCTCTTGAATCTCCTTAAATTGGCTAACTAGTGCCAGTGTCCCATCCATTTAAACTTTTTGCTTTATTTTATTATTACTATTTTGTGGTTGAATGCTCCTTATCGTGCTTGAAATCTCTTTCAAGTTGCTATCCAAATCCAATAGTGAGCTTACTGCTTACCTAGCCTTTATCCAATACGCAATTGCTCATTCAGTGCAAACAATGAAGGGTGCCACTAAATTATCAACAACTCTTACATGGCAATTTTTTCTTCGACATCCTAAATCATCGAGTACTATTTGCATAATTAATTGTTGAATTTGATTGATCTAACTAACAAGAACACAAATTCATGCTCTATAAAACTTGTACCTACAACGTTGAATTTTGGAAACTAATGGTTCACCGAACTGAACTAAAAACATTTTATTATCACAGTAAATATATTATAATCCCAATTTATTTTGACTTAAAAAGACTTCGTAACTCAATGTCTTGCTTTCACTGGGTGTTTAGGTTATAATTTGCTTTATGCATAAACTGGCATCTGGAGGAGCAATTGTCACCAACAAATCCACTTTCAGCCCTTTCATGTGTAAGATGTCCCCCACTCCTCACTGAAAACCACTCGATGGAATTATTGGACCAAGTTAGGATATTTCTTGGATGGGACCCCAAATTCACCATGATGTGCTTAGAATCCGATGGCTCTTTTTGCTTTTATCCCATATAAAGATGGAAAAAAAAAAACAAACTATATTGTATAATATGTACACAAATATTATTGGTAAAGTGAGAAGGGGAAGAAGAAATGAAACATGTTGGCTTAAGAACTAAGGACGTAGAATATCACAGTCGAGGTGGGATCTAGTTTGGTATTATTGTGTTTTTAAAGAAATGTTTCTGGTGTGTAGTAAAAAATAAAAATAATCAGTTATGAAACAAAGTAGTAAAGTGTTTAATAAATTAAGTTTGTAAAAATATTTAGAGTTCAAAATACAGTATCAAAGTGTTTGCTAAACTTTTTATAAATACGGATGACAACAAAAAAAACACAATATTCAACAGGTTATTTATTTGTATGGCCAAAAGAAACTTCACTAAATACACTTCTTTTTCCACAAGCTTATAAGATTAAAAGAAATATATGAAATATATCCTAACTTTTATATTAAAATTTACAAAAAATATTTTAAATATAGAACCATCTAGAGGTCCAACCATTATTATGTCATTAATTTCTTCTCAAATAAAGAATGAAATTCACATATGGGGGGAACAAAACTAAAGTTGGTGTCTACGATTCTCAGTGATCTGATCAGGTTTCTGCTTCGCAATCAATATAAATGCCTATCTCTTTCGAAAATTCTAAAAAAGTATTCCACTGCAGACTGACAATAATTCATCGCATATTTCACACACAGTTAACTAAAATATGTTGTGTTCTTACCATCAAATAAAGATGATGGTTGAAGAAAAAAAACAAAAAAACAAAAGAACACAAATAATGCATGCATGTCTTCGTCGTGCTTTTCGCGTAAAGCCATGGACTCTTTGCAAAAAGGCTTAATCTCTCCTTGCACTAAAAAAAAAAGCTAAAACATCTCAATTGGTAGGGGAAATTTAATGAATTCTTGGTGGCATATATTCTACTTTTATAAAAGAGTAATAGTTTGTTTGAAGGTACTTTTAGGAAAAATATTTTAGAGTTGTAAAAGCACTTAAAGTGTTTTTTGTGAGAAGCACTAATTATGTTTTTATTTCACGAAACACTTTAAGTGATTTTCTAGGATTTATTTGCAGTTTTACTTAGAATTTGTTTCAAAAATACTTTCACCAAAAACGCTTTTAACCATTTTAAAAACACTTTCAAACAAACTCTAAATTACAGTAAGTCTATCAAGTGAGCAAATATTATAATTATTAACTAACTTGAAAAAAAATCTCAAGTAAATAAAAATGTTTTGTTCATTAGCTCACGTAAAACGTGTACTTAATTATGGAGAGTTTACAGGGAATAAAAAGGGGGACCCCATCCCCATTGGTGTAACCTTTTCTTGCAGGTAAACGACCAGAAAATGCTGGTGTAAATTGACTGATGATTGAGTGCATTTTTCTTTTCAGTTTCTACTCATTTGGTCACATGTTTTTTGATTATTTGAGATACAGCTGTTACAACTATTTTGCTTCCTTACTACTTCAAAGTTCAAACATCACAAAAGCAAAGTTGAATGTGCTTGTAAAAGAAAGCAAAAGTTGAAACTTCGAAAACATATGGTTTAACACGCGTAGATAGATAAAAGAGAAACATTTTGGTGTGACTTTGATATTTGTGCTTAGGGTTAGAACTTTTATTTTTCTTTAAAAGAACTTTAGTTAGTGGCTTTCCTACGACAGTCCTTCCTTCTGGGGACCTTTCTCTTGTCACCATCGTGCGATTCACCAGCACTAGGAATCAAACTCAGAACGTGTCTTGTGGAATACGAACCTGAAATTCATCTCTAATCATTGGGTCACCTCGTAGTAGTGAAGTTGTAAGTTACACTACACAATTATAACATATATTTTATTCATTAACACTAAATATTAATTCTATTGAGGTTGTATTGAGTTTTGTTTTAAACATGATTTAGATGGAATATAGTAAAGGTTACCCATCCCATGCAACTTACCGACTTGCTTCCTAAATGAAGGAAAAATACCGAAACAGTTAGGTGGACGACAAGTCGGCATGTTTACACAGTAAAATATAATATTGAAAATCAGTGTATATGCTGTAACATGAGTAAATTGATGTTCTGGTACTCCAATTATTTAACACAAAATCAGTAAAAAAAGGGTTTGCAGCCGAATTTTTACTGGAAGCACATTGGACGGTGTCATTTAGAATTTTTTTTAAATTTTTTGTCAAAAGAGTAGACTTGATTATAATCTAATGAAAACGTTTATATCTTTGCCCAAGATATTGAAAAGAAAATCAAGACCTAAAACATCCCACAAAAAAGAACTTTCATGACAAGCAACATGCGACGCCACTACGTGGGCAGCAAGGTTCCCACCCCGCGGAACAAAACTGAACTCAACCTCTCTAAACTGATTTGCTAAATACCAGATATCAATCAAACACACTCCAACGTAGCCTCTGCAGTACACACTCCTTTAGCTTACGTATTAGACTATGGGCATCAGACCCAATCACTATCCACTCCCTCCCTTCTTCCAGGCAGGCAACCAGAGCAGCCTGGACATTTGCTGCATCTGCTCCATCTCACCTTCCTCCCCTGATTTTGTTCAATAAGAAGTGGAGAAGAGCTAAATTCCATAGAGGGGGAAGGTATAGTATTTGCTACTCACCATTGACCATTGACGAAGAAAACAAATTTCTACTTGGATATTCCTATTCACACACCAATTTTTATCTCCCACACACTCATGTTAATTGTTATTCATTGATCATTTCAATTCATTCAATCTGACAACCAAAAATTAAAAGAAATGCGTGAAAAGTCGGATATATGGATATTACTATCCTGCACTTTTGTTTAATCACATTATGCATATGCATTCATTAGATTATAATTGCAATGTTAGCCCAACATTTAAGCCCAAGCCCTCTCTATATACCCATTTAGCCCAACATTAACATGGACTGATGGGCTAGGTGCTCAGCCTAAGCCCGAGCTCCAAACCCAATAAGTCTATGACATCCACAACGATTGAACTTGAGATTTATTTTGAGAATATATGTAGGATGAAAACGAGAGAAGTCGTAAGAAGTGGGTTTGTCTTGGTGGTCATGATCTTTCTCTTCAATTTATTGTTTTTCGAGTTCAAATGTTTTTTTTTTTGTATTTTAAACTAAAAGTATCGCTTATATTTAAAAAAAATTAAGGAAATAAATTAATTAGGGATGAAGATCGGGTGTCAATTTCATATTTAAACCTTCAAGTAGAATCCTAATAGCTTTTTCTCATCCATTGGTTCTATTTCCATATCATGTTTGTGTAAACCAAAGAAGTTGGCCTTTCGAATTCTAATTACTAGATTAATAGAGAGGGCTTATATGGTATGAAAATGATTGATTAGATCATATTATCCACTATTACTTGGTATCCATCTATTAAGAATTAAAGCAAACTAAACTGGACCTCTCAAACAATGGCTACTCTTTTGTGTTCATCTTATTCTCTCACATAAAACTAAACACATATTCTCTTGTATTTATAGCTAAACGATGGGAGTTGTAGATACAGAGGATATATTCTGGATTATAGTATAAAATACCGTCATCATGGCTTTTCAATTATAACTTGAAAGGTAGCCACACCTATTGTTGTTTTGTTTTGTTTTGTTTTTTGTTTTTTAAAAAGAGAGACAACTGGTGGTAAGTGTCACATCCCCGCTCGGGGGGAAACACTTTCCGGGCCCGCTCCACCACCGTAGCACGATATTGTCCATTTGGGCTTACCATTCCTTCATGGTTTTGTTTTTGGGAACTCACGAGCAACTTTCCAATGGGTCACCCATCATGGAATTGCTCTAGCCCCCTTCTCACTTAACTTCAGAGTTCCTATGGAATCCGAAGCCAGTGAGCTCCCAAAAGGCCTCGTGCAAGGTAGGGATGAAAATATACATTTAAAGATCACTCCCCTGGACGACGTGGGATGTCACAATCCACCCCCCTTAGGGGCCCGACGTCCTCGTCGGCACACACACGACCAGGGTTAAGCTCTGATACCAAATTGTCACATCCTGGCCCGGGATGGATCACTTCCCTACGCGATGTGGGAGCTTCGGGTTCCGTAGGAACTTCAAAGTTAAGCGAGAAGGGGCCTAGAACAATTCCATAATGGGTGACCCACTGGGAAGTTGCTCGTAAGTTTCCAAAAACAAAACCGTGAGGGAATGGTAAGCTCAAAGCGGACAATATCGTGCTAGGTAGGGATAAAAATGTACATTTAAAAATCACTTCCTTGGACGATGTGGGATGTCATAGTAAGCCACTGTTATCCCTCCCATTTGGGGGCTGGGAATGAATGGTGTGGGATTAGAGATTTGATTAAGAATAAGATATGCTTTATTTCTTTTTTATATAGTTAGGTTTTAAGGATAAGATTTTGTATATATTTAAAGCACAAACTATAGTAGATTTTGGGTGGCCATCAGAAACCATAAAGGTAGATCACCCAAAATAGTAGGACATATCTTATCCTTCTTGGCTTTTGTCCATCTTTGTTTTCCTCAAAGCAAAAGAAACACCGCTCAGTGGTGGGCACTCTCTAATAATTCTCACAAAAAAATCTCATAAATAATTTTTTAATATAAATTATAAAATAAACTAAAATTTCCCATCCACCATAAACTATCAAAGATCCAAAATATCCACAAGTGACCCTCTACAATGAAGTTTGTCCTTACATCCGTAACGTGGTTCTATAATTTAACAAATCTATCGTTTTACCCAAAAAATTTTTTTTTTTTTTTCCAAAATATCCTAATTTGAAGTGTCATTTAGGAGGTGGAATTGCTTTTGAAAGTGCATGGGGGTTGTAATGGAAGGTTAGCTTGACCCTAGATCTCACTAGGATGGAAATTGTTGGAGATTTGTGGTTTGGTACAAGTGACAAAATCAGGTGACAATTTCGATCATCACACATTTATTGCAATTCGAAATTTGCATGAATATAAAATTTAATGGGTACGTACAGATGAACAGTATTGTTCAGATAATTTTAACACTAAATAAATTATAATTATCTCATTTTGTTAAGTATAATATTAGTTAAGAATTATTATTCACACTTCAAAAATTTATTTGTGCAATTCTCATAATTTTTTTTTTCAAAATATAGAAAGTGCACAATTAAATTTTGGACTTTCAATAACAATTCTCTACTAGTTATTGCTTTATATATTATTTTTCAATCAATGTGCTTGCTAATCAATCGTATATCAACATGAACATGACACACCTATAAATAACTAACCGAACACAATCCGATTGCCAGCCTGGCCACAAATGTGAGATTATGTGGCTCCAAAAATAATTTATAACAGAGAAATGCTAAAAATACTCTCTTAAAATAATACTTTTCATAGACTTTCCACCACCTCATAGTTTAACGTCAATTCTCATGCCAATTTTATGAAACATTATGTAAAAAATATAAAGTGACAGATATACCTGTTATTAAGAAAATCCCAGTTTTGAAATAATCTCCTTTAACATTTCTCTGCTCTCCAAAACAATGGCCAAATTTCACACCCACAAACCATCCTGGTTTTGGTGTCTCAGGTAGTTTTAGGACAAACTGTGACAGCACTTCGCCCCCAAAATTAGAAAAATCCCGAAACCCACAAAAACATTGCCAATAATAATCCAAATTGATTCCCCAAAATACCCCTACACATTCCCCAAATTTCACCGGACCCACCCTTTAAAATATACAATTCCCGAAGCCATTTTCCCCACTAGCCTGTTCCTCTCCATCCAATCGCGGCAAAACCAAAACCTATCACGGTAACATTTTCCCTCGCTTTCCTCTCCCATTTTCCCGGCAACCAAACAGGTCTCGAACCCCCAAGGATGAGAGAAATCCTCCACATCCAGGGAGGCCAGTGCGGCAACCAGATCGGCGCCAAGTTCTGGGAAGTGATCTGCGACGAGCACGGCATCGACGGCACCGGAAGGTACAACGGCGACTCCGAGCTCCAGCTCGAGCGAATCAATGTCTATTACAACGAGGCCACCGGCGGAAGGTACGTACCACGTGCGGTTCTTATGGATCTGGAGCCTGGGACGATGGACGCGCTCAGATCCGGCCCGTTCGGGCAGATTTTCAGACCCGATAACTTCGTGTTCGGGCAGTCTGGGGCCGGGAACAATTGGGCTAAAGGGCATTATACGGAGGGCGCCGAGCTTATCGATTCCGTGCTCGATGTGGTGCGAAAAGAGGCTGAGAATTGCGATTGCTTGCAGGGTATGGTGAAAATTGAAAACCAAGATTTTGGGTTGAAATTGTTTTTTGGGTTTGTTTTGTTTATCTGATTTGATCGTGCTTTTGGTTTGAAATTGAATCTCAATTGTGTTTGTTAATTCGTTGATTGTTGTCAATACGATTGGATTGGATATGATATTGTAGTGCTTAATCATGTCTTATTTGGGTTGGCTTGATTGAATGTCTTGTTCTGTTTCCTATCTCTCAAATTATGGCTAATTTTTTGTCAAATAAGTTTTTCTACGTTGCGGTTAATCGCATTTTATTTAAATGTGGACATGTCGTTGACATCTGATCGATATGTCACAAATATTTGGTCACAAGTGCGGTTAAGCATAACGTAGAAGGAATGAACAAGAGCGGTTTTGATTGATATCAAGTGTTTCCTGAGTTTATAATTTGAATGGCTGATTGGTGTGAATGAAATGATTCAGCTTTGTAATGTTGGCCATGTGTTTTGAACAGGATTCCAAGTATGTCATTCTTTGGGTGGTGGCACCGGCTCTGGCATGGGAACTCTTCTTATTTCCAAGATCAGGGAGGAGTACCCGGATCGAATGATGTTGACATTTTCTGTCTTCCCATCCCCAAAGGTGTCTGACACGGTTGTGGAGCCATACAATGCCACCCTTTCCGTCCATCAGCTTGTCGAAAATGCTGATGAATGTATGGTTTTGGACAATGAGGCTCTGTATGATATCTGCTTCCGCACCCTCAAGCTATCCAACCCTACTTGTAAGTCCAAATCTTAGATATATGGCGGCTGACAAGTGACAGTGATTGTAGAGTTATATGATGATCTTTTTTTGTTTGATTGTATCTTAAAGTAAAAAAGATTCTGATAAATCACAGACTGGCATCTTATAATGACATGATATAAGACGCATTTGTGTGTGTTCATGTGAATTCTTATGAGATTTTTAGAATGAATGTCATGTGATATCTTAACATATTTCTTTGCACGGCTAATGCAGTTGGTGATCTTAATCACCTCATCTCTGCTACCATGAGCGGTGTCACATGTTGTCTTCGGTTCCCTGGACAGTTGAACTCTGACCTACGCAAGCTTGCTGTTAACCTTATCCCTTTCCCACGGCTGCACTTCTTTATGGTTGGGTTTGCACCCCTAACTTCAAGAGGATCACAGCAGTACCGTTCTCTGTCTGTGCCCGAATTGACCCAGCAGATGTGGGATGCCAAAAACATGATGTGTGCTGCTGATCCACGCCATGGACGTTACCTTACTGCGTCTGCTGTGTTCCGTGGTAAGATGAGCACCAAAGAAGTTGATGAACAGATGATTAATGTCCAGAACAAGAACTCCTCATACTTTGTCGAGTGGATTCCCAATAATGTTAAGTCCAGCGTGTGTGACATCCCACCCAAGGGTCTGCAAATGGCATCCACTTTCATTGGGAATTCGACTTCAATTCAGGAAATGTTCAGGAGAGTTAGCGAGCAGTTCACAGCTATGTTCAGGCGAAAGGCTTTCTTGCATTGGTACACGGGAGAGGGAATGGATGAGATGGAGTTCACCGAGGCTGAGAGTAACATGAATGATCTGGTTGCCGAGTACCAGCAATACCAGGATGCAACTATCGAAGTGGAGGAGTACGAAGAGGAGGAAGAGGAGGTTGGTGCTTGATGAATCGTGCCATGGTCGTGGTTTCTCAGTTTGTGTAAACTCGTTATGTTTGTGGCTTAATTTGAACGATTTATTGTTGCTCAGTCAATTTAGATTTGAAATATGGATGTATGGAATGTGGGATGGGTCTGTACACGAGATGGGTTTTGTAAAAACGCTTTTGTGTTGGATTTGAATGTTGTACCGAGTAAGGCATATAATGTCGAAAGTTATGTTTCAGTGATGGAATTTTCTGTCTTACACCATATGCTGTTTGTATTTGTATTTGTTTTGGTAAAATGGAGCCGCCCAAACACCCATCGTTTCCTTTGCCTGGTATGAATTATATTCGAAGAAATATCGTATATGCATACCAATTTTTTTTTTCATGTTCCATACCGCTGAGTGACCCGAAACATCAACGGTTTAGATTTTGCATATAATAATTATAAATTAATTCTTACTTACAAAGAAAACGAAATTTAGAGCATCTTCAAAGAAGATGTCAAAAAGTCTACATCATCAATAACGGTAAAAAAAAGACATTGCTAGTGTTTTCCAAACGAAATGCCAATTTCTATGTGACGTGACATGAAAAGGCAGCAGAGAGAGTTGCTGTCAAATTTGACAACAGCTTTAAATCTATTTTTATTAATTGATAAATGCTTTTATAATTTTTATACTTATCTTTTGTTTTAAAATACTAATTATAACTATAAAATGTAAATAATGTAATAAAAATAGTAATTTAAAATTGACATATAGCTTGAAGAATAAAATTTAAAAAAGATGAATGTGCCACATAAGTCTTTAAATTTAAATTTTATGTCTAAAATTTGACATCTTCTTTGAAGATAGTTAGTTCTTATTTTACGAGTAATGCAAGCCTCTGTTAAATTTGTCTTGGTTATTCTTATTTTCTTATCTTTTACAGAAAGGAATAATTTCAATGCCGGCACCTGAGTAAAAACGAAGTAATATAGATGACAAGCCTTTGAGTTAAACAAAAAATATTCACACGCACTTAGAAAACCAGACTTTTTCAGTGCACAAAAAGTACGAGCTCCCGCTCTCTGTATAAAAGCAGCAACGTGCTGGGTCTTTATCCACAATTCAGGTTTACCCTAATTTCCTTTCAAAGTTTAAGCAAACCAAAGAGAGCAAAAGATTTTCGAAATTCTAATGGCTTCTCAGCTTCTTTTGTTGGCGTTCCTTGCCGTATCTTCTTCCATTGCTTCGGCATCTGACCCGAGTTCTCTTCAGGATTTCTGCGTCGCCGATAAAGCCTCAGGTAGGCACCTAAGCTAAATCATAATTATATTCGTACATGTATGTACATAATATCAGTCAGCTAGTTAGTATGGGAATTATATTTGTTTCTAATGTATTCTTTTCCACCATGATTTCAGTACTGGTGAATGGTTTTGCGTGCCAAGGACTCCAAACTTGTCGATGCCAACGACTTCTTCTTCAGCGGACTTCACCTAGCAGGCAACATCCAACCCAGTTGGCTCACGGGTGACCCCCGTTAACGCAGTCCAAATCCAGGACTTAATACTCTTGGTATCTCCATGGTGCGTATCGATTATGCCCCATGGGGTATTAACCCTCCACACACGCATCCTCGCGCTACAGAAATCTTGACAGTCCTGGACGGGAGCCTCCAAGTGGGTATTATCACTGCCAACCCGGAAAACCGTCATATCAGCAAGGTGCTTCAGAAGGGTGATGTGTTTGTGTTCCCAGTAGGACTTGTTCATTACCAACACAATGTTGGAAATAGTAATGCAGTAGTCCTTGCTGCTCTCAGCAGCCAAAACCCTGGTGCCATTACCGTTGCAAATACAATTTTGGATCAAAGCCTGATATCCCTGCTGATGTTCTTGCAAAGTCTTTCCCAGTGGACAGCAATGTAGTCTTCGATTTGCAGGCAAAGTTTTAGAGTCCCATTTGGAATCTCCGATTCAATCGAAAGGGATCCGACTTACAGTTCAAGTGATTCATGGTGGTGTAATATTTGTTCTTTTTAAGAACAAAGGACTCTAATTGTGTTTGATTCTGATACTTCAAGAGGATAATTTATTTCTTCTCGTATAGAAACGCAATCAAAGTTGGTCTATTTTGCTTTATTTGTTTGCTTAGTAGCGAGGGAGGCCTTTCCTCCAAGAGCTTTGCAATCTACAAGACTATATATGCATGAAAACCGTTTAATTCTTTAAGCAGTTGAAAGTGGCCGCCTACTATATAGCTAGTTTCCGAACCAGAAATGTCTGTCAAATGCTAGACAGATTTGCTTTCTGCGAACTTCACCATCATAACTCCACACATCTATATTATCCTTCTTTTGTGCCTTAGTTCAAGGAATCTGCCCTACTCTTTCGATATATTCATGTTTTAATCAACAATGGTTGAGCTTGTTTATAAGAAGGGTTAGCTAGGCAACACAATTTCGATCAATTAGAGATCATCAGGGCTCTTGGATCGGGGGCTTTTCAGCTAATATGAGAGTAGGAGAAGTCCATGAAGTTGAGCTTTGGATAAGGCTGTTAGGAGGATACTTGAGAATCTGAACTTTTAGTTTCACTCTCCAAATGTGTTGTGACTGATTTGTTTCCCTTGGCTTCTTTTTTACATGGCTGTAATCACTTAATTTTCTCGATCTGATCAATGTGATTTAAGTCATATTTATCTGAAAAAGAAACATGTTGGCTGATGGTTTGGCAAAGATAAATTTTTCTTTGAATCTGGGTTGTATTATGTTGTATTATGTAGGGGGTTGATGTATTTCTTTGTTTAGCGATTCTATTTGGGCTTTATGCTGCCTCTGCAACAAAAACAAAACAAAAAAATCGTTAAAAAGTCTATAATTAAAAATTGAAAATATCATTCTGGGCCTCAGGTGCATGCCACACAAGCACAATGGATGGAAAGTAAACAGAGCTAAACTTGAGGATTATTGCTCCACATTTTGTCAAATTTAGGTATCAAATTTAATGAATTTTTAGTTTAGCGACCACTGTTTTAATTAAGCCATAATTCAGGGATTATTTTTGTAATTTTCTTGTTGGTATTCCTTTTCACTTATAAGTGAGAGGTATGAGGTTCGATTATCGTCAAAGACAAATTTGAACCACATTATTGCTAGCCTATTGTGAGACTAAGTTCACCCCCTTTCTTTTAGTATAGATAATATCGTTTGTTAAAAAAAAAAAAAAAATACTAACTAGCTTGAATCCAACATATCATAAAAAAAATGTAGGTATCAGATAGCATATTTAATATAGAAGTTAAACATTTTTTTTAAGTTTCTTGCCTCTATGCAAATTACTTCATATTGAATATATACGCGTCCCCTATTCCACACTTTATCTTAGTTTGTTTAAGTCAAAGCAAGCAACAACCAGCTTTTAGACCAAAATTTGCCTGAAAACAAAAGAAACCTCCAATATCAATTGTCCACAATATTCTACTTAATGCTTCCTGCTGCATACAGAATATAATATTTGTATTAATCATGCTTATTGAATAAGATTTTCTGAATGTATGAAATCTGTACTATGTTAATCGGAGAAAGAGAAGAGAAAAGGATGCCAATAAGATTTTAAAATTTATTCTAGAAAGCCAATTCAAATTTGTGAGCAATACATTTCTTCATCAAATTTGCACTTCCTGTTACATTGTTGTTGTGTACTTGGAACACCGTCGCATGATGGTATAGTTCTACTTGTAACACCTATATTCATTTTAACTATTAATATAGCTTAGAAATAGAATATCAACCATTTCGTTCATCTCTATTATAATACGTGAAAAGGTACACCTCGCGCCAAGTGTAATAGGGACATCAAAACTTCTTGACGTAGAGAGAAGGGAAATGTTCCTCAATGCCAGCAGGCCCAGCACCAGTGCCGGAACCCGAAAAAATAACGTTATCAGATAAATGATGACATATACATGCACAAGCACCAGCTTCCTATGAAAAATTTGTACTATGGGGTTACAAATTAAGACTAGACTTTTTCAGTTCATAGGAAACCATACATGTATGCAGAGGTACTTCGCTCTATAAAAGCAGAGACATAGATAGAGTTTCAATCCACAATCCTCGCTCTTACGAAGTTTAAGCAAAAGTTGGTCAATTTCTCTCTGCTTACTGTCTTGATCAAATGGCCACTCAGTTCCTATTTTTCGCATTCCTTGCCGTAACTTTTTCCGTTGCTTTGGCATCAGACCCGAGTTCTCTTCAGGATTTCTGCGTGGCAGATGCAACGAGCTCAGGTAGCTAAAATCGTCTTTTTGTATATTTTCCATGGTAAATATGTCCCAAAAATAAATATATCCACCATAGATATCAACTGGTAATTATGCATGCTGCTAATGTTTATGTACTTTTCCTCATCATGGTTTCAGTACTGGTTAATGGTCGTGTTTGCAAGGACCCTAAACTGGTTGAAGCCAACGAATTCTTTTTCAGTGGGCTTCACCTAGCAGGCAACACATCAAACGCAGTTGGTTCACGTGTGACTCCCATTGGTGTAGCCCAGATTGGAGGACTTAATGCCCTTGGCATCACCGCTGCGCGTATTGATTTTGCCCCATGGGGTCTTAACCCTCCACATACACACCCTAGAGCTACTGAGATTTTGACAGTCCTGGAAGGTAGCCTCAAAGTTGGTTTTGTCACGTCGAACACTGAAAACCGCCTCATCACCAAGGTACTTCAGAAGGGTGATGTTTTTGTGTTCCCAGTCGGTCACGTGCATTTCCAGCAGAATGTTGGAAATGGTAATGCAGTTGCCCTTGTAGCTCTCAGCAGCCAAAATCCAGGTGTCATTACCATTGCAAATGCAGTATTTGGATCAAATCCTGATATCCCTGCTGATATTCTTGCAAAGGCTTTCCAAGTGGATACGAACGCGATCTATAGCCTTCAGTCCAAGTTTTAGAATAAATTCCAATTTGGAACCTCTGATTAAATCAAAAGGGATTTAGCTCATTTGAAGTGTCTTTAGAAAATTATTGCAGTTTGTTTTTCATCGCAGTCATGTTGGTCTACTGTTTTGTTTGATTCAAAAGATTTAATTTGTTTATGCTCATTTGAAGTGTTGTTGAAACCTGATATCCCTGTTGGAAATGTGATCAAGTTGTTATTTTTTTTATTCTATTGCTCCAAGAAATAATAAAAGCGGATGTTTGCTACCAACTTCAAATAAAACACGAGTGCTTTGAGTTTGGAAAACTGTTTCTATTTGTTTTGGCCAAAAAT